ATATACACACATAATTCTATTTAGATCAAGTTCATCACAATTTATCACTTTCAATGTCAAGTATAATATTGAAATTATTTTAAGGAAAAATTATTATATGTACACAATATTATACATATATACATACATATGTATATTGGTAAACAAAATGTCTATTTCTATATGCATTTATATACTAAATGTGGTCAGTTATTATATTTCATTTACATTGAAATATTATAAATTTGAATGCATACACATGTTATATGTTATGCATTTACATAACATGTATGTACAGATATATAATGTGAATAAACCTAAATATTGTTAATTTAATTGAAAATTTTTGAGAAAAGATAATTAAAATCATTATTGTTTTCGTCTTAAACAAAAAAATTATATTCCCTTTAAAATGTTAAAGTTTAGTGGACCATAATGTTGAGGTTATATGAGATTATTAATTTTTAAAAGATAAAAATGTTATTATATGTACAAGATGAGAGTTTGCACTATTACGTACATGGATTTTATGTTTTATATTAAAATTTTAGGTACTATTAGTTTAGTTATTTTCAACACATTGAAAAAATTGAAACAAAAAATTATTGTTATATGCACATTTATCGTTCTTCTGTCTGCAATGTTTGTCAGTTTTTCAATTTGTAAAAACTTTCATAAATTCGAGGATATTTTGCTTAAGTTTGCGACTTATGTACGACTTCCACTTGTATATAGTCTTTTAAAAATTTCATTTCTTTTGGAATTTTAAAATCATGACGCAATTTTGAACAAATTTTAGATTCCATACTATCGCAGAGAAGTGGTTGTTGCTGTTTTTCCCTTAAAAAAATACTAAGCAAAATTTCATTATTACCATAATTCGCAAAATTATTTCTTGCTTTTAACATTTTTTTAAAAATTTTGAATTCTTGTAAATTGGTAAAATTTTAATTTGCAGCAGATTTTGTTGTCATTTATGTTCTTAAAGAAGATGTACATATATACATATTTATCAAATAATATCTATTTTTCGAGCAATTTATTTAACTGCGTAACTCAATTATTAAATTGGCATTGTGCACTTTTTATATGTGGTCCCTAGAAGTATGCAATGTAAACTTAATAGGAAAATAATTTCTAAATAAAAAATCTTGTTTTTAAATAAAAAAACAAACAAAATTTTTCTACAATTTATTTCATTTAATTGATATTTGTCGCCATTAATTACAAAGTTAGTTTTATGTAATTTTATTTATACTAAAAAAAAGTAGTTTCAGAAGTGCAGAAACAAAAACATTATTCGAAAAACTAAATAATTATTTATGAGTTTAATTAATGTTGCCAGAACTTGGCAACAATTATGGACTACTGACCAAATGCTAAATATTTTTACATATTTCACGGTTTTTGTCGCAAAATAATGACCGTTTAGATTCTTTATCTTAACTATCTGATAACGCAATATTTTATATACTACATTCCTGTTTGTTGAACTCAATCCTGAAAATTTTTGAAAAACTATAATTAAAAGTCTTATAAAATTTGTACCAACTATTTTAATCAAACCGTCAGAACAAAAGTTTTATTCAAAAACAAAATACACCCCCTGTGAGTAGGGAAATTAAGAATTATCTTGTACAACTGAAAATATTCTGATTTTAATCGAAATTCAATTTTTATATTTTTTAAGAACAGTGGAAGTTACAGAATTAATTTAATCCAATTTTCTTTTTTAAAATCAATAAAACGTAAACTAAAATTTATAAAATTTTTATTATTATTAAATTTAGTTATATTTATTTAAACAACATAAAAAACTGAACAAAAATACAGAAAATTTTCCATTGTTCATATCTACAAATTCACAATATTTGAGCAAAAGCGAAACATACACATAAGTATGAATGCATAGCCACATGCAATTGACACATTCATGTTTTTGAATCCAATATGCACACATGCATTGTGAATTAACATTGTAATAGTACAACATCATCAGGAAATGATCATAAATGCTATTAGCTTTTGAATGAATAATTTACTAACATAAAGTCAAACAAGCTATCATCATTTTCAAACACACACATATTCTATATACACTAAAAGAGATATGCTATAAAACAAGATGCCTACATAAATAAATATGTGACTAATAAGTTCATACACAAATCATGTTCATGTAAATTGTTCCTTATCTGTTTATGCTGTGGCATGTGTGTGATATATATGTATGTATGTATATAACTTCAAACTGTTAGCTTTTGTTTTTTTTTATAAGCTTTTGTTCTTTACATACATATACATTCAATATACAGTTTACCTTTGGTTTTTACATTTGATGTAAACGAAGCAAAAAATTAAAGTAAAATAAAACACAGAAAAAGACCCTGAAAATTTTGCCCTTGAGACATAAAACGACATGAATAACATGAAAATTTTCATATATACACTGATCCTGATGAAATATTTATTTATTGTTATAGTTTGTCTTCTTGTATTTGTTTTTTTTTTTTTTGTATTTTTACTCTATTCTCTTGTATATTTCTACTCCCTTATTTTATATTTTAATATCAAAGGATATAAGAATTTTATACAGAAAAAAAAAAGAAATTCCAAATCAACATAAAAAATAAAAGTAAAATATGCCCACAGGAATCCGAAATTGTAGGACAAAAGAGAGGAAAAATAAAAGTATGAGCAACATTTCAAAGGAACATTGAGCAACATTTATTGTAAAATGTTTAGCTACATTTTTAATAGGAGTGAAATTGTTTGAACAATTAAATAAGAAAATTTCAATCGCACCTTTACTTCTCAAAATAAAAAAATTAGCGAAATAACAAAAAAAAAATCTTGTTGACATGCAACGTTGACACTTGCTTTAAACATAAAAACTCTTGTACCTGAGAGAATTAAATTATAGGGGTTTTTCATTTATTTTCTTTTTTCTCTTTTACTAAGCAAATTTCTTTTATTTGGAGAGCGAGAATAGTTAAATAAATAAAAGGTTTTGTAGAATATTCAGGAAAAAATAAGGAATATTGAAAATTTTAAACATGATAAGAAATTTAACAGTCATTTAAACGAAAATTTTAAATTCCCCACACCCTCACATGCACTCATACATTCTTACACAAATACCAATTATAATGGGAAAATTTCTGCAAATAACAAATGAAAAAAAAAATACTATTTTGTTTATTTTTTCTTCTACTTCTTTTATTACTTTTTCTCTTTTTTTATCTTTATCACAATTTTTCTCATTTTCTTGTTTTTTATCCTTGAAATAAGGCCAAGTTAAAAGTATTCATGCTAAATGTGGAATATTTACTTTACTGCGTCTGTGTGAATTCTCTGGTGGTATTAAAATATCTTATCAGTTAAAATGTTACTGTTATTTTCACTCTGTTAAAATTTTATCAATATAATAATGTTGTTGGTATATTTGATATTTACTTATACTTCCATACATACATATGTTTTTTCTGTATTTGCGAAAGAACAAAAAAAGAAAAACGAATAAAAAATTTATAAAAACAATAAGCAAAAAAATTACATACCGTTACTTTAGTAACTTTTTTACAGTATAAATTAAGAAAAATTCAAATATGTGACAGTTGCAAGAATTGGCTACTTTTCACAATTTTGAGAAAGCCGGATTCAACCTATAATTATAAAAACTTGTATGAGTCAGATTGTTTACCGATTTATTCTCGTCAGCCATTTCAAGTATTCAAATTAGTAGTTCTTTTCATAAAAATACTGCAATAGTCGATTCTGTGACTAGATAGATTAGGAATATAATTAGCACATCGATGGGAAGTTTGTTGCTTGGGCAAAATTTAAAAAAAAAATTTTTTTTTGAACCGTTGTGACGAATAGCTATGGAGTTTTATACTTCTTGAATAGTTTATTATACTTGAACCAATTTATATTCTAAAAATTTAAGTCTACTTTAAATCAAAAGTCAATAGAGCATAACGCCTATACCTTCAAACCAATTGCAATATATTGAATTCCATTGGAATTTGAACAATATTTTTTCCTTACTAATGAAAATCTACATCTTTAATTGACATCATAGTTATGTCAGTTAAACACCAATGTGAACATCCTGTATAATGTGTGAATATTTTGTAAGAATTCTACAATACATCCCGTTGGGTAGTCTTGTCAAAAAACAAATTCCTTGTCAAAATTTTAGGTCTTATTTTTTAGAATGAACGAACGAATTTTTTAAAAATTAATTCGAATTCATCACTTATATGCAAATATATAACAGATTCATCTTCTTGCAACTGGTTCAAATTATATACAGCAATCTAAATAGATTAGTTGCTAAAATAACTATCTGCTGTTAATTGTATGAAAAATAAATATTAAATCCTAGGTATTTAAAATTATAATTTATAATTTTACCCCTGTATAACTTTAAATGGTAAAACACTACTCTAAATCTTTGTACATTATTCCTAATTTTTTACTCCCAATTTTTATACTAAAATATTCATCAATCTCTCTTTAAAGGAAAAAAAGATTTCAATTTTCACTCCATCCTATGGAAATGAATTCTCTTTAATTTTATTTGATAACAATATTTTTTTTTTGCTCTCTCAATTTATAAAATTCAATCAAATCAAAAATAACAGTTTTTTTTTTCCCTATGTTGTTTTCACTTTATCGTTTGTAATTGTATTCAACTGTTAGAGGGACTTATCATCATCATCATCATGTTCATCATTATCAATATCACCCAACCTATCCCAACTTATTCCATGTGGAATATAAAAATTTTTTCTCTTCTATTGTTGGTATTTTTGCACTTTATTATTTTTTGTTTAAATTTTTTTTTTTTTCACTTTTAATTTTCGTCTTTTTCTTTTCTTTCTTGTTTTTATTTTTCTTGTATATTCTTAACTAGCAAACTGTTGATGTTGGTCCATATTTAAATATAATATTCAATTTTTATTAAAAGTCAGTATCATATTATACGTCATCTGGTTAAGATTGTTAAAATTAAAATAGAAAAATTGATAAGAACGGACAAAAATTTATTGATGACAATATATGATTAATTGTGTGTGTGTCTGTATGAGTTTTTTTTTTTTGTTAATAAGATTGACAATATTTTTTAATTGTATTGTAAAAATATAGAAAATAATAAACTGTTGATCATCATCGTACATTCTAGTGTACGGATTTTATTACATATTTATAGTTTTATTTGAAAAATTAAAATTTATGAGTATATGAAATTATAAAATACAATTTTTATATGTAATATATTGTTGAATAAAAAAGAAAAATTAAAAAAACAAAATAAAAGGATGATTTTGAAAATTTTTGTGTAACAGGTGATAAATTTTTGTGTACGTTTCTTTTATTTTTGAATAAAATAAAAAAATAAAATTTAAAAAAAATATTAAACAGAAATAAATATAAAATTTTAATAACAATCAATAAAATAAAAGGATTTATAAAAATAAAATTGAGGTATAATAAAAAAATAATAAAAAAAAAAGGTTTTTTTAACATAAAAAAAATTTACATAATCTTTGCATAATATTCTTTTATAAATTAAATGAAATAAATTAATAATAATAATAAAAATAATAATATTAATAAAAAGGACATTTTAAAATAATAGTTGTTGTATAACAGTTAAATATAGAAAGAGACTTTTTACCAAAACTGTACCAAAAATATCACATTTTGTAAAATGAAAATTTATAATAAAATTTTCTGGTATTTTTACTGAATTAAAGTGTTTAAACATTGAATCATAGACTGGGAAATTATTATTTTTTAATTATTTAATTTAAATATTAAAATATTCATTTGCAATTATTGCCCTTGTATAGGAGCAATAAAACAAGAACTTTACTATTATTATTGTTCAATTGTTATTTTTGCTTTTCCCCTTGTTGCGGTTTAAACTACACAAAAAATCTGCTTAAAAAAAAACAACAATTTAAGAAAAAAAAGGATAATTTTGAATCCTGATTATTAAAATAACATTAACTTTCTAAGCCATCACTACTCTTTTAATTTTATTTTATTTTTCAACTTTATTTTTAATTTTAAACTTTTAATATAATGGATTAATGCAGGTATATAACTATTATATTCCTATTTAAATTAAAATTTATTATTTTTTTATCATATACTCGTATGCTTATTCAATACAGTTGTATATTCATATTATACATATATTTTATACATTAATAAATAAATTTATTAAATCAATGCTATGACGATGTTGTATCAGGAAAAATAAAAAAAAAAAAACTTTTTCAAATAAATAATATAATGGTATTATATAGAGAGTATATTTGCGGTTTGATACAAATATATTAAATAATAATAAAAATATATAAGAGAAAAAATTGAAGAAAATAAAATGAAATTGTATAATAAAATTAATTGAAAAACTTTATAATTAAGAGATTTTGTTATATGGATTCCAAATGAGCATATATACTTACATACATACAAAACTTTAATGCCTTTATATTATGTAGGTTTTTTAATACGCCATTTAGGAGAAATAGAATGTCTTCTTTTTTTTTCAATTAAACATTTGTACGTCTTCGATTTATTTTAAAGTTTTAAAAGAGAACAAAATTTTATATATGTGTTTTGAAATTCAATTAATTTTACGATACAATATATCTTATATATATTTACGTTATATATGATTTAGGAATTTATAATAGCTCTTATTCAAGTACATAATATTTTTATATATTATTACGCACATAAATGATATTTGAAATTTATTTTAATCCCAATACTAATATTTTCATAGTTTTTGTATTTTAAAACACAAAACTGAATTAAAAGTACTTAAAAAAATTATTCTGAATTTATTTTTGAAATCTATATATACGATCAGTGATAAATATGAGGAAGCATGATCGCGTCATATTTGTGCTATTCGAGTTATATCATATTTTGTCCCATATATAGAAAACATTTCATTTAGATAATCACAATTAAAAAATTAAAGAAAAAAAATGTTCAACTACTAAAATAAATCAAAAATTGTAATGCAATACAAAAATTATTAAATTTTTAATTAAGAACAATAAAATTGCATAATTATAGGGGTAGTGTTCTAATTATTATAAAACGAATAAATGGGTATCTAAGTTAGGCACGCTTTTTCTACTTTAAAGTATCACATATTTTTAAAATATGATCACTAATTTTTAATTGCTCGTAATTTTGCAACACCCTTACTAAAGAGAGTTATATGAAAGCTGTTAAAAGAGTTCATTACTAACGTATTATTCTTCTTAAACTTTAGTAATAAACTCTCACTAACGTTACCTTACTAACTTTGTTTTTCTAAATGGCAGCTCTAATTATAAAATTTTTCAAACAGAATTAAGGGAGCTAATGCAAAAACAATCAACATTTCATTTGAATATTTGCCATATTATATGACACTTGTTTATACAAAGTCAGTAAATTCAATGGAAAAATTATTGAAGAATATAAAAATAGATTGTGTAGACTTTTTATAGTTTCCACGATATGAACAAATTATTTTTAAAGATTTTGGCATAGCAGTAAACTATTTCTAGAGTTGAGCGTTTACTATTCGTATTGCCTCTTCGAAAACATTCCATTTAAATAGAGTTCGAGTCATAATTACTAACAAGAATTTATGAAAATTTTGTTATCATGATAGATATAGCTAAATTGATTAAGAGGTCCGTTTGTTTCCTTTATGAACGGCCCGGTAAATTTTTAGCATTCTCTCGTATGGGAATATAATTGTCGGAATATGTAATTAGATGGATCCTATAGAAACATTCTCTATTTCAAAAATTTATATTTATAATTCAATTTTAATAGATAATAAAATTCACATTAAAAAGGAAAAAAAAATTAATTTATAAAGTTTGAAAGAAAGTATTTTTTACGGAAACCACAATAAATCAAAACAGTTCTGTGGTAAATTTCTTCCTTTAAAAATAATTTTTTCCTCTTCTCTTTTTTATTATATTTAAATTGTAGATTTAGTATATAAAAATTTCATATACCTAGTTAATATGAAAAAAAAATATTAATATTTACTTATGATTTAAATTGAAATTTATATTTTTTGAACGCAATTCAACTTTGTTTGTACAATTTTTAAATAAAAGAAAAAAATAAGATTTTTTATTTAAAAATCATTTTTTTTTCCAAGAATAAAATGGTTAATAATTTTAAAAGAGTTGCAATATTTTATGCTATGTATAAAAAATAAAATGAAGACAAATTTAATGAAGTCAAAATTAGGTTTAGTCAAACTAACAGTTTATGATGTACTAAAACAATCTGTGTACTGCACTATTTAAATAAGTTTCAATCATATATATTATAAAAATTGCATATATTTAGGGGAAGATCAAAAACAGCTTGAAAGAAGCGTTAACATAATGCTCGAGTACGAGGGTTAATTTTGTAAGTTAAGAAAAATAATTACATTTTTTAATGGTACGATGTTTACCGTTATCTTTCCGCATTTGTGAAAATTTGGAAAAGCGAGCAGTTTCAGAAATGTAAGTTGCCGAAAGTTCAAATTTTACAGATTTAGAGATTTGGAAAAAACTGATTTGAGATAATGGTAAAATTTAACTGCCATTTTGTTTTTAGCAGTTCAAATATGGTATACTGTCAAATGTTTATGGTTTTGTTACAATAAACAATTTAAAAATGGAATTATTTAAGATTTTGGATATTATAACTTCTAGATAAATCTATATAAAATTTCAGCATTTTATATCTCGAAGGATGTGGAAGTTTTGTAAAATGACACACGAACACACGAACAGACGAGTGCATGGACATAAAGAGAAACTAATAAGTTAATTTTTTTAATAAGGAACTGAAATTATGAAATTATAAAAAATAAATAAGAGAAGGTGGAAATATTTTATTAATATCCATTGTGTATTCAATAAGTATGTTTTAAAGCATTTGCAAATACAAAAGACGCAAATTTTTAAACAATTTACCTTAACGCGTAGTCTGTAACGAAGACATCGTGTGACCACAAGGTTGTTTTCTAGCTTGATTATCGAAATCTATCGTCATTCCGTAATGAGTAAAGTAAATTGAGTTACTTTTCTTTCTTCTTCTTTTTCTTGTATATTTTAATATAAGTATTTTTTTTATAAATTTCACAATGATAACGTTATGTAAATCGTTTTAAAAAAATTATAATGTCACTTGCTTTAACACTAACAAATGCGTTTTTCATAAATATTTAAAAATCATTCTAATTTCCTGCCTCTGTTTTTTATAAAAATTACAAGTAAACAGCAAATATTATTAAATTCCTAAAAAATAAAATCTATTATATGCGAATACTTTAAAGTAGAAAGTCACAAAATGTAATTGATTACAAAATAACGCGCAGAATTTGCGTTCAAAAAAATTTGATTTCAATGTTATAAAATAAAAACACATTAACCGACTGAACACTGAGATTGATTGCAGTCTCTGGGATCATAAAAAACCACACAACAAATATTTTTGTTGTTTTTCAAATAAAAATTTTTGATAATAACTGACGAATTCAAAGATTTAAAAACATAAACATTACCGTGATGGTAATTGAATTAATAACATCGTAGAAAAATAAATGCGAGAGTGAGAGTTTTGTGCATGTGAGTGAGAGTTTTTTGTAAAAATTTTTATTGTCTGTATCTCATTTATTTTATATTTACATTTATACTATTATGAAGGTAGAAGGGTACAATTACGTTGAGATTTTATTTTCAAAAATTTTTTTCAATTTTATATAAGAAAAGAAAACGGACAGTACTCGTCGAAATAGTGGCAATACTAGTAGTGTTATTCAATGGTGTGTAAAAAATTTATTTTCTTTGCTAACAACAATAAATTAATTTCTACTCCGTTAACAAATATTACTCTTTCTTTTGTTAAATTAAACAGCTAAATGTTAAAATCTTAAAAGTACTAAATTTCCAAACAATACAAAAATTTTTATAGAAAAAAAAATTTCATCTACTTTGTTTAACTTTAATAATCCCTAAATATTTTTTTTTCCTAACATTTTATGCTCC